TTTTAATTTTAATTTTAATTTTAATTTTAATTTTAATTTTAATTTTAATTTTTATTTTAATTTTAATTTTAATATTAATTTTAACTTAATTTTAATTTTAATTGGTTCGCTTATTTCAATAATTTTTTTTTTGGAATTGGCGATTTTTCGCTAAAGTTAATAACTGTTGGCTGACCAGATAACTGCTTACTCACTCTATGCTCTCGAAGACTCTCATTCACTGTTTACTTTAAATTGTACTCTGATACTTATTTGTTTTATTCTACATAAATATTTTTAAACGGATATATGGTACATCGAAGTATGTTACTTTATACTAAATATTACAAAATATACCTTATAAATATTGGCTATTAGAGGGTTGCCTTTGTAGTTTACGATCTATTTGTTAACTTTTTTTCTCATTGTATCCAGATGTTCGTCCGTCTGTATATGCGCGAACTAATCCCTCAGTTTTAGAGATACCGATCTGGAATTTTGCACACGCATTTTCCTTGACAAGAAGCTGCTCATTTTTCGAAATTACCGACCGATATATTGTAGTTAACATAAAAACTGACCGATCAAAATTAAGTTCTTTATGGAAAACTTTTTATTTCACGATATGCCCACAACTTAGGTTGGATTATGGTCCAAGACAATCTCCGATTATATTCAGAACGGACCACTATTGCATATAGCTTTGAGTATTATAGCTTCTGTGCAGCCGAACTACAAATTTTTGCTTATTTTTATACTAAGATTTATTTTGTACACTGTATACTAATGTTTTATTTACCGTTATGTATAGTTGTTTTTTTTTTTGGTTAAGTAGGAATATAAATTATGCAAATTGTATTTGAAAGTTAGTGTTGGATTTTTTAGGGTTCTATTAAGATTTAATTTGTAAGTAATTTTATTATTATTAGAAGTTTAGTCGAAGAATGATTTCAATATCATCATCAGCTCCATCGCCAACAGTCATTAATAAATCTGAACGCTGAGACGTCGTGTTTTTGTTATAATTTCATGTATGAGAATTTTGATGATATAGTCATCGAAGCTCTTGGTTTCACAAATTTGATCAGTATGGAAATAAACACTTACCACAAAGCTATAAAATCCATTGCTAAAATCAAGTATGTGAATTAAAGATCCAAATTAGATCACAAACAATCTCCAAAAATTTGATCTGGAAAAGTCGTTGTTCAAAATTTCATGTAGAAACTTGTCCACAAGAAGCCCATGTTCCCATACTTTTTGAAGATTTATTATTGATTGTTTGAAAACTACTTCCCATCTGTTACTTTTTAAACTATCGATTATGCTTTTTCCTCATTCGTCACTATTTACTTCGTAAAATCATTTCTTAAGGCTAATATAATATAGTGTTTATGGCTAATGATTGATTAGCTTGTACTCAATACCAAGTAAATATTCCTATACACATTTTTACTCTGTATCTATATATAGACTTTGTCGTCATTCCTCAACCCTTTGTGCGCGATTTAAATTCGTTCTGGCTGCGGTCAGTAATCAAGAAAATGTAAATGCCTTAGCATTACCATTGAATTACGCTAATAAATTTCATTAATTTTGCCAAATTCGGACTAAATTTATTTTGACGCGGATTCGTGAGTATTACACTATATAAATTAATGCATATATGGTTTATTTAAATATCGACATAGACGTTTTGGTATGTTCCAGCTCAAAGAATTTACATAATCACGAAATTCTTGCCAACTTGACATGCGCAAGGGTGGTCCATTAATTCCACATTTTGAGGACATCATTTTTTGGTTCTTGAAAATATATATTTTTAGTAGTAGCTAAATATTATGAGCCACCCAAAATATATATTATATGTGAAAATTTGGAATACTTTAAATGGTCCAGTCGGTTACCTGCTTAAAAGGCAATAAAAAAGTATTAAATATATTATATAATGTATAAATAATATATGGGATATAACCCGCTTGCAAGTTAGAAAAACGCGTTTTTTTGTGAATTTTTTTTTGAAGAGGTATTTTATTTAATGAATAAATAAAAATAATTACTTTTTTTATTTTATTAAAAATTTAATGTTTTTTTTTATTGTCGGTGATCCTTTTTAAAAAAAATTCGGATTTCCTTGATTCTGTAGCTTAGGAAAAAAGGTGTCTCGAGATGAGGAAGATTTTTCTGCTTTAAATTATCTCAAATCGAAAACCTCCAAAAAGAAATATATTATAATAGATGAATATAAGTAATGATCGAAGAAAAAGTCAAAATTTTGATTTTTATCAAAATGCTGCCTTCCAAAAAAAAAAATCAAAAACCTTATTATTTCGATAATTTCTTGCCAAATAATTCTAAGAAGGTCGTATGAAAATTTTGATCGGTCCAGCCGTTTCGGAGAAAAATATTTTTCACCGACTCATAAAACAGTATTTCGAGAAAAACACGTATACAGAAATTTTTTGCCGGAGCAGCTTCAAATTTTCTGAGAATATTTTCAAATACATGTACATTCGATACATAAGCTTTTACTTCGATATTTTGGAATTCACGTGTGGAAAGAAAAGTCACGTTCGCCTTGTTACCTCATTGTATCTAGTAGTTATGGTAGTATATTTTTGAGTTATCGAGAGTCCCACGAACATTTTTAAAATTTAGAACCATTGCACGAACCCCACACTCTTTAGAACGGTATCCCTTTAAAGAAAATATTGCTGGCCTTTATACATATACATATGTATGCATCTTGATGAGTCTATTAGCGAGAGTTTCGGAATGTATTCAGGGCCTAATTTTAAGAAGTTTTGAGGTTTATGACATTTGATTTTTCTACACCTTTTTGGTCAGGTTTCGATTGCTTATATTGCTTTTCAAAAATCATCTCAAATCAGATAGTAGGCAGACATCAATTAAATCTTGATGTTCCTGCAATAAAGAGAATTTGTGTATGACACTTTCTATTTCTTCTTTTACTAAAATTAAAAATATTTCTTAAAATTATTTGAATTTTTGTTGCACCACCCTAATACGAATATGTGAAATTTTTACCCATTTTTTCTTACGCATAAATTTGCTTTGTTAATTATTCGTTTGTGCGTGGTTGGTTTTACACTTGAGATTTTTTGTTGTTCTTACGTGTATGTCTCTTATTTGCGTTTGCTCTACAATGGTTAGGACCGATTTTATAGCGACTTTTATGATGCCACATTCGCGACGACTGTGCGTTAATTACGCATATTAATGTGATTACAAAGAGGCTATTTGCCATTCCTTTTAAATACGCATATGACCTTGAAGTCAAGCAGTTTTGTAGAAACAAACCCTTGCGCTGTTCTCTTGAAATAGTTACTTACCCTCAGCTAAATCTCAACCTACTGCCCTCAAGGTTTTGAGAAGGTGTTTCTTGGAGAAATTAATTATTCGTTTGTATAGATGGTATTCCTCTACGCTTGTCACAAGAATTTTTATATAGGGTGGCACGTAGTGAGTAGTTCTTTCGATGGAAGCAACTCGAGCTGAGGAGTTCAAATCAAGTCGAGTGTGTTTCTGACTTGTAAAACTTTCTTGGAGAATTACTGACCAGATTTTTTTCGTTGAAAACGTTAGAACAATAGTGTTCGGGAAATCATCGGTTAAATTCAAATAAAGGTTGATCGTGAAGTAATCCTCTCAATTGATATCTGCAACCATATTTTCTTTGAGCTTTTAGAGACGAGTGAGTATCAACAAATTTGCCGAGGCAATAGCCTCTGACCAAATATATAATATATCTGCGTCCGTTACGTTTACGTAAATCTGATTGTTTTGGAAACAGATTATGTTTCTACTCATCTCTAATAACGGACGTCGTAATAGCAACGTTGTAAAATTTACATATTTTCTTGATACCTTACACTTCTTAGTAGTACATCCGAAACTAATCCTACTGTACTCGTATTTAAATTGCGACGAAAAAAAATCAATAAAAATTACCAGTGGCGGAGGAATTGGTACTCGTCCTATAATAAAAGTGAAAACGCAACAAATTAACCAGTAAGAAAATTGAAATGACTTTTGATTTGAGCAGATACAGTGCTGTGCATGGAAATAGCTCGACCTTGTAAAAAATTGCC